CGATGATCGAAGACCCGACCATCCTCTCACCGTTGGCAAGCAAGACTGTTGCCTCCGACACACCCTGCGATTCCCACCTCAGCGCGTGGGCCCATGTTGCTCATTTCTTGTCCATCCTGCTCACGGCACAGGACAGAGGCAGGCTACTTACTTTGTCGTTTCTCGAGAGTTTCACCACCTCTCCGCACTTGCTTGTCTTCAAACTCTCCACCTTCGCCCCTACCCGCAGGGTCCCGGGTCGAGCCTGGAAGTAGCTCTGAATGCTCTTCTGCATGAATTTCTGTTCGTTTAGCTGCTGCTCTCCCCTTGTAGCTGCCAGTCCTTCTCCTCTCCCTCCTCTGCTCCGACGGCTCTTGTCCCGCTCTACCGCTCCTCCTCCCTCCTCCCTCTTGGTTCCCGCGCCATTGCCCTTCCTCGTATCCTTTTTGGAGCTGCACAATTCTACCCCTACCCCATATGTAGACCCTTGTGAGAGGGGTAGTATTCCCCAAAGTGAGGCATCGCCTGGCAAGTCGGGCATCAAACAAGAACTGAAGATCCGATCGATGACGATGATGATGATGTTGTTGACGATGACGATGATGATGACGACGAAGATGATGACGATGACGATGATGATGATGATGAAAGGGTGACGGTAGATCATGATGACGATAGATCATGATGCTGGAGATGGAGAGGATGATGAGGATGATGATGATGATGCAGATGAGTCATGCTTTCCGAGCGCTCAGGCTTGCATGATAGGATAAAGTTTGCTAGTTTTGCTGCGCTGCGAGGGTAGACCTGGAGCTTCCGCGCAGTGACAGCAGCAGCACAAGCCTCTTCCTTACAGTGACTGACACCTCAGCTGGAGGATCTGAAGGGGTTCGGAACGTGGACAGCAGGAGGGGTGATGGAGCGCTTCAAGAACGATCGAACAAGTCCATCTCCTCCGCACTCTCCTCTTCATCGTCATCCAACCCTGCTAGCGCCTCGAGCCTCCGCTTCACCTGCATCCCCGGCTAACATCAGCTCACAGAGCCAGCAACAGACTGCAGTCCCGTACCTTTGCGATCCTCTGCAGCTTCATCTGGGGAAGGCGCATTGGGGCTCGTGCGAACATGTATCTGCAGACGCGCTTAGTCTCGTCGTCAGGCAAGAGAACTGGAAGGAAGATAACCCGTAGCGCTGCCCCCGCAGCGTCGTCAACATCGATTCTTCCGAGCGATCTGCCTCGAACTCTCCACCCTTCTCCTGATCGAACATCGATCGATTCTCTTGTGCTCTTCTGTTCAGCTCCTCCGTTTCCTCCTCCTCCTCGACCTCCGATTCGCCGACGACTCCCTGCGACGGGTGGAAAGTCAGCTTGTTCGCCCATGCTAGAGCAGAGGAACCGGATCGCTGGTGCCCGTCACGAACCACCACTCATGGAGAAGTTTCAAGCACTGAGCGACCGGTATGACAGCCGTGTTTTCCGGAAGCTTGTGGAGCATCCTTGCATGCAAACATGCCAACCGACAACGCTTGACTGCCATGTCGGGCTGTTTGACAAGAGCCAGGAAGCTCTGACCCCTGGATGCCTCCGAGACGAGATGCCAGTCTTCATCACAGACTTGCGTCTCAGCGTCGACAGGCTTCTTGATCTGCTTCTGTCTCTGAGAATCCTCGCCCAGAGCTTTTTCTAAACTTGTGATGTCAATCGTATCTTGGAACAGGTACAGGACGCTCCACATGCTCACTTCTTGCTTGGCGGTTGCCTTGATGCCTCGCATCCAGTCTAGCTTCTCTCTCTCCGTGATTCTCCTTGTCCTCATCTGCGATCTCCGCCAATCGATGAACATGGCTTTGTTGAACAGAGAGTCGCTCGCGCCCTCGCTCACCGTTATCCTCGACCTCCTCATCGCTCTCTGGAAACTCAGCCTCGAGATCCTCATCTCTGCAGGCAATCAGGGAGACAAAATAAGGTCGTCAGCCCCGCCACTCAGACGCCTCCCTTCCGACTGACCTAGTTCGTAGTGCGGGTCGAAGAGCTCTCTAAAACACATAAGCATAGCCCACTGATCCTTTGAAATTCTCTCCACCTCCCCTACATCCATCCTCTCCTGCAGAGTCGGGAGCGTCTCCTTGAGCACGTGGTGGAACCCTTCCCACACGCCATGCACGTGCGCCCGCGCACTCCGAGTCAAGCGAGACCTTTCGGCCGCACTTGATGCCGCCATCATGGCGACCAGAGCCTGACAGGAGCCGTTGCCGCTCCTCATCACTATATAAGATTCGGTTTTGACAGATGCGAACCATTTCGTAGGTTGTATAGTATTATGTTGCTGCCTTCCCTTTTTCCCTAGTTCCTCTCTGAGGCGAGTTGGATTTGGTCTGTGTACCCTACCCTTGAAAAGTGTACCCTACCCAATACGAATGAGCCTTCGGGATAAAGGACCATACCTTTGCCTCAAGAAAGGTCTAATCTAGACAGGGTAGTCTCTTGCAGGGGTGGGTGTACAAATATGATCCCAAGCCCTGTGGTAGGGTACTTCTTGGCAGAGGGAAAACATCGATGACGAGATAGGTGGGGTGGACACTAGACACGGTGGGGGTGATGGTGTACGGGGTGCCCAGAGGCAAACTACCCTTAGTCTTACCCATACGGGTAGTACCCAGTCGTACAGCCAACACAACAAGACCCTGGTGGGGTACTTCGAGGCAGGGGTACTAAAAGGCGAGGAGCGGTGACCTTTCGGAATCGCCATGTTCTTCCAGAAGGTGAGGCGATGGCAATATTGTCGGGAAATGGCATGAGGAATCGCTCGTGATTGATCAGCATCAGTGAATGATGCAGACGTGTGATGGCTTGCTGGATGTGCTGTCATTTTTCATGGTGGAGATGCTGGCTAGATGTATGAAAAGCTGTGGGGTTTGGTATTTGGTGCCGACCTCCACTGGTGTTGCACGATGTCTAGAGAGTGGAGGTTGTCCAGAAGCCCTCCGTGCTTTGATATGGGATCGCTGCAGCATAGGAGAGGATGTGTTTTGTTTTGTGGTGTTGCTTGTTCTGGCTTGCTCACAAGGTGTGTCGTTCGACAGCCTTTCTTTATAGTGCCTGCCAGCTCGTCGATGGTGCGCTTTCTCTGAATGCCATCAAACACATCAAGAAGCCTATCGTATCTGCAAGCTGATACTGTGTGTACAGCTTATGGGCGTGGAGGCCTTCTTGGCCCACCACCATGCTGGTGATGTCGGTCCCCCCCCTGCCTGGGGAGGCATTGCTGACGACGGTCCCGATGCCCCTTGCGCCGTTGCTGGTACAGGCACAGCTTGGGGGATGCATTGAGTCTTACTGCGGTTGCAGGCATGTTCGGATGCGCTCCGATGAACTCCACCTACGATTACTGGAAGAACGGAGTCCCCTGGGAGGGCCCCCCTGTTGTGTTCCACTAAATTACGACACACTGTGTGTATCAAACAATGTGCTTGTGATTGATTCGCTCTTCGAGTAAACTATGCAAGAATCATCGACGCATGTGTTGTAAAGAATATGGCATCCTCTTGTAATGGCCCGGCTTCAGAGCTCGGAGGGCTTCTCCTTGTTCCGAAGTTCCACGATGCCTTGGTGGTCTTCTTTTGGTTCCACTCGTCGTGACTCCCAGTCCTCCACCTTGGAGTCGGGTTGCTCCATCAGGAAAACAATCTGAAGAGGAGTGCTATGGTATGCTGACTCACTCAACTTGCCAACTGGCAACGCTGCCTGGTCCAACTTGATCAGAAGTTGGATACTATGATAATTGCGAGCGGTGTACTGAGTCGGGCCGGGCCGGCCCCCCGGCGGCCGAGTTTTTTCGTCGTCCGTCCCGAGTCCGGCCCAGTCCGCCTGGCTTCAATGGCTGCTACTATTTCATAGTAAGGCATGTATTAGTGTTTTGCTGCCTTTCATTTTTTCCCTAGTTCCTCTCTGAGGCGACTTTGATACTCCGACTTCTTTTAAGTTAAGTGCTGCTTGACGCATTCTGATTTCAGGTCCGGATAAGGGGTGGTAGGGGTGTGGAAATTTGAGTACCCCACCTGTGACATTTGCCCCTCTACAACAGGAGGAGTGGTGGTACAAATATGATCCCAAGCCCTGTGGTAGGGTACTTCTTGGCAGAGGGAAAACATCGATGACGAGATAGGTGGGGTGGACACTAGACACGGTGGGGTGATGGTGTACGGGGTGCCCAGAGGCAAACTACCCTTAGTCTTACCCATACGGGTAGTACCCAGTCGTACAGCCAACACAACAAGACCCTGGTGGGGTACTTCGAGGCAGGGGTACTAAAAGGCGAGGAGCGGTGACCTTTCGGAAGCGCCATGTTCTTCCAGAAGGTGAGGCGATGGCAATATTGTCGGGAAATGGCATGAGGAATCGCTCGTGATTGATCAGCATCAGTGAATGATGCAGACGTGTGATGGCTTGCTGGATGTGCTGTCATTTTTCATGGTGAAGATGCTGGCTGGATGTATGAAAAGCTGTGGGGTTTGGTATTTGGTGCAGACCTCCACTGGTGTTGCACGATGTCTAGAGAGTGGAGGTTGTCCAGAAGCCCTCCGTGCTTTGATATGGGATCGCTGCAGCTTATGAGAGGATGTGTTTTGTTTTGTGGTGTTGCTTGTTCTGGCTTGCTCACAAGGTGTGTCGTTCGACAGCCTTTCTTTATAGTGCCTGCCAGCTCGTCGATGGTGCGCTTTCTCTGAATGCCATCAAACACATCAAGAAGCCTATCGTATCTGCAAGCTGATACTGTGTGTACAGCTTATGGGCGTGGAGGCCTTCTTGGCCCACCACCATGCTGGTGATGTCGGTCCCCCCCCTGCCTGGGGAGGCATTGCTGACGACGGTCCCGATGCCCCTTGCGCCGTTGCTGGTACAGGCACAGCTTGGGGGATTCATTGAGTCTTACTGCGGTTGCAGGCATGTTCGGATGCGCTCCGATGAACTCCACCTACGATTACTGGAAGAACGGAGTCCCCTGGGAGGGCCCCCCTGTTGTGTTCCACTAAATTACGACACACTGTGTGTATCAAACAATGTGCTGTGATG